TCTGCTGTGAGGGCAAGATGACAAAAGAGTTGAGGTTCTCTGTAGTAGATGAAGTCAAGTCTTTTTTTGTGAGAATTGTAGCACCTCTTTGTTGCTTCCTTTGTAAATTCTACATACAGACCTGCGGTAGGGAGAATATTGGGATACATGTGGGGTCTTCATACTTGACTTAAAAGTTGAAGCCTCTGCACCTTTTCCCTTATTTCTATTCTCACACTCTTGGGGTGGTGGGGTGGGTCCTGGATCTGTCTCTGCACCATCATCAGAGGATGGTCTCTTCCTTAAATTTACTCACTCCATTTCTAATATTGAGTTATTGGTTCTGGGGGGGTTGGGTGGAAGGATATATGTTGCTATGGTTCTAACTCTAATTTTGCCAAGGAAAGTTCCATCAGTGTGCAATGTAAGATCAGTCATTGTCTAGTCTAGATGTACATTTGAGTTTCGGATCTTCTCTCTAATCTGAGGATCATAAAAAACTTACAGAAGGAGATGGGGATGAGGGTGGAGGTGGGGAAGGGCATTTCAGAGTGAAGGCATTGTAGGTTTAAAGTAATAAAAACACCCCCAGGAAACTTAGATTCAGTTTTCTAAAATAACTGAAAACCAGCTGATATTAACTGTATTAGTCTGTTTTCACACTGCTGATAAAGACATAACCAAGACTGGGTAATTTATAAAGAAAAGTGGTTTAATGGACTCACAGTTTCATGTGGCCGAGGAGGCCTCACAATCATGGTGGAAGGCAAAAGCCACATCTTACATGGCAGCGAACAAGAGAGAATGAAAACCAAGCAAAAGGGGTTTCCCCTTATAAAACCATCAGATCTTGTGAGACTTATTTACCACCACAAGAACAGCATGGGGAAAACTACCCCCGTGATTCAGTTATCTCCCACCAGGTCCCTCCCACAACACATGAGAATTATGGGAGCTACAATTCAAGATGAGATTTGGGTGGGGACACAGCCAAACCATACCATTAACAATATTAGCAAATAGACATAATACTTAACTCTGTCCCAGGCACTATTCTAGGGCCTTGATGTAAATTAACTCATTTGATCCTTACAACCACCGTCTGAGGGATGCACTATTTTTTCCCATTTTTCAGATGAGTAAACTTAAGCATAGGGAAAGTGATTGGCCACAGTGCACAGCCATCATTTGGAGAAGCAGGTATTCAAGTTGAAGCAGGCTGAATCCAGAGATTTTGCTTTTAATTTCTTGGCTCTGTTTAGAACTTTGGAAATTCAAGCTGGCTGACTCTATTGTATTGCCAAGGAATAGTATACTGATCTATAAGCAGGGACATTGCTCATTATTGTACATTCTTTCACCTCAGAGCAACAGCAAGGCAACTTGTGATTGATTTTATACTTTAATGAAGGCCACTCAGCATGTAGAGACATTTTTCCCCAAGACATGATTTTGACTAGAGGTTTCTAAAATTGTGTAAATTTATATATAGCATGCAAGGAATACCATTTTGCTTTCTCCAATTTTTGGTGAGAAATAAAGGGATATATCTGTAATACTTAACACAAACTCAATTTTATAGTCAATTCTGTATGTAAGCAGAGCATTCCATGTTTATGTCTGCTTTTTTTCTAGGCAATTAGGAAAAACATTTATCTTCTAAATTATACTGTACGTTCTTGTTCTGAGTAAGCAGTGGTTCCAGTGGTTTCTTTGAAAAGTCTGCTTCTAGAATTAGATGCATCATTTATATATATATTTTTACTTTCCGCCTTTTGATCAGTTTGGACTCTTTCCTTCTTTGCTGTGCTGTCATGAGTAGATTTAAATTTAGTTGTGAGAGCACATGAAAATGTGGCACCAGGACCATTTTGGGGTTAACAAGGGAGGGCTTCATACAGTCGCGCAAATATTATAATTGAGGTGTAGATTCCTGATAAAATTAGCCTGGAGAAATCAGACTAGCTGTTAGTGCCAAACATCTGGCTAGTAGAGAACAGCTTTTTGGTTTTGCACATTGCCACCCTACCAAGTCCATTGTCTCTATTATTTAATGTCTCCTAGGGCTAGAATTCCACACAGACAGTGATGTTAACTACTATTTGTGTCATCATCTAGCTCATTGTTATCCCTAGAGGATGAATGAGAAAGTAAGAGGATTACCATTTTGCCATTTCTATTTCAAAACACCTTCTATTCAATCTTTTCTTTGGGTCAGCCAGTGTTCTCAGTTAATGAGTGGTGGGCCCAATGTGGTAGCATAATAGGAAATACATTTTTATGAGAAAGCACTGCTGGGGTTTCCAGCCATTCCTAAAACCTCACTTGCAATTCCATGAGTAGTAAAAAGAAGATTCAGGCCACCTCTATACCTACTTCAGCTTTGCTTCTTGTGAATAAACAAATGCAAAATAGTTCTAGTTTGCCCAAACATTTTGAACTTCTAAGGTAAATGACCTGTATGTTGGGAAGCAGGATTGCTAAGAGACCTTAGTGAGTGCCATAGTTGTTTCTTACAGCTGGTAAGTAGAATGAACTTTTAAGTGGCCTTACCAGGAAGGCTGAGTCCATAAGTGAATGGTCAGGAATCCTAACCTTTACAGAGGGAATGTTTTATAGTTGCTATTGGCAATAACAGTGTAAAATTGCTGAGAATCAAAATACTGCTAGCCACAATGCCATTCCTTCTGAGGCCCTTACCCTACACATACCCCTGGAGAAATAATATAAATTTAAAACCTGAAATTACTCCTGTTTTCCCATTTCCCTCCTTATTTTCATAGACAACCACCTTTGCTTTTGACCCCTACTATCTTTCTTTCCAGTGGGAAAGTGGCTCCTTTATGTGAGCCAGTATGCAATTCCAGCCAACCTAATAAACAATTCTGTTCTCTTTCTTATGAAACAGCTTATTCACACGGGCAAGGCCTAGAATGTCTAGTGTTACCAGCTTCCCCAGTGAATGACTATTACGCCCACTGCCAGGGAGCCCCTCTGCCCACTCCTACTTGAGCAGATCCTGGGCAGTTCATAGTGACTCAGTTTACGTTATCAGTTTTCTCCTTCTGGTGGCCTCTTGATCCTGGGTTATTCTACTTAAGGTCGTTAGGACAGACTGTAATCATTATATTCATCTCTGGGAATCTTATTAACTCTGTAATTTTTCTGCTGTCCAGATTCGCCTCGTCACTTCTGGTGGTATCATTTAATCTGCTGGCTGCTGAGTGCTGCCGGGATCATCTGCATTCTTGTAGCACATGAACACTATACTGTCGATGTGATCATTGCTTATTATATCACAACACGACTGTTTTGGTGGTACCATTCAATGGCCAATGAAAAGGTGAGAGCAGTGAAGATGTTTGGATAATTTCTTTGCTTTGAATGCAGTGGACCCTTTTCATGTCGTGGGGTTTTAGATAGCTTAATGGGGATAACTGATGTTGCCACATTCACTTAAACATATGTCCATTACTACTTTTTAAAATAAAGCAAAGAACTTCACAAATATGAATGCCATTTATGGATAAAGATGCCATAAGGTTATGGAGCACAGTGCATCACTAACTCAGGTAATTTATACTAGAATGAAGAAATACATGTACTAAATTAAAATTTAGGAACCTTCTCTATAAAAGCATTGTAGTACAGCTGGGTAAGACATAATCCTTGCCTTCAACTTAAATTAATTTTAAGGAGAAGGTAACAGCAATTTTTTTTTAATTTTTTTTTTTTTTTTTGAGACAGTCTTGTTCTGTTGCCCAAGCTGGAGTACAGTGGTGCAATCTTGGCTTACTGCAACCTCCACCTTCCAAGTTCAAGCGATTCTTGTGCCTCAGCCTCCCAAATTGCTGGGATTACAGGTGCACCCCACCACGCCTGGCTAATTTTTATTCTGTATTTTTAGTAGAGACAGGGTTTCACCATGTTGGCCAGGCTGACCTTGAACTCCTGACCTCAAGTGATCCTCCTGCCTCAGCCTCCCAAAATGCCAGGATTACAGGCGCGAACCACTTTGCCAGGCTGATAGCAGCTATTGTTTAAAATCACAAACTAAATAGCTTATGAATGACTGGATTTGGTATATCCTCTGGTGATAATGGTGCTCTCTGGCTTCCCTTCCGATTCTTCCTCATTTGCTACTGCTGCTTCCTTGTTTCCAGATACCCTTTTCTTTCTTCTCCCATTCATACTTAAAGAGCTAGCTCAAATGGCACCTCTTTTTTCTGTAACTCTTGCTCTCTTCCTCTGGTCCTAAGGCAGAATTATTCCTCCCAGTCTCTGTCTTCTCCTAGTCTTGGTAAGTGTCCTTGGTATAATAGAGTTGGTCTGTGTACCATGACTTACTTATCTTTGAATAGACTTGCCATATTGTCAATTTGGAGAGTTTGTGAGCAATTGAAATATGACATTTCCAAAGGATCGACATCCAACTCTCAGTGTCCACTAATACATGCTTTTTCTATGGATTACTTTATTTCTCTTTGTAGCTCTGTTTCCTATTTTGTAGTCTCCTATTTCCATCTTCCTTCTTATACTTCCATCTAGTTGACTGCTGACAACACTGAACCAAAATTTTCATCTTTCCTCTTAAATATGTTCAACCTTCTGAGCTCTTCTTTCACTCTTTGACCCCTAGATTTGATCACTCACACATCCTGAAAATTATTCCTCCTGAGTAATTCTGACATCCATTCCCAGAGTCTCCATTCTTACTGGAATTGCAGGCAGAAGAAACTGCATGAGCCACAAAGGAAGGAAAGACACCTAGGTGTGTTAGGGGACCGGAATCATGGTAGAGTTAGAGAAAGGACATGAAAATCATTACTGCTATGTGATCTGAATTCTGTTTTCCTTAGGTTACAGTGAATGCCAATTTAAGAAAATAATTAGGATGCAAATTGAGAAAGGTATGTCTCATTTTACTTTTTTTCTACCATTTGCAGAACTTGAAGGTCTCTTCACAGACTAATTTCTTATCTCGAGCATGGTGGTTCCCCATCTTTTATTTTTTTGAGAAAAATGTACAAGGCTCAATTCCTTGCTGCTTTTCCTGGCCGCTGTCTTGGCCTCCTGGCTGCTTCAAATCATCATGCAAAAAGTATTCACGGGTTCAGAAGATTGGTGAAGACAATGAGAAATCGACCTGAGGAGCAAAACAAAGGCATCAGCTCTTACACCAAAAGAGTTAACGCTGTAACCAAAGGTATAGTTTTGTTTTTTATTTTAGGAGAACTGACTGGTAAATGAAGAAATGGACCAAATTTTGTGTAAATGAATAGAAAGATGAACAAAGTATTACCCTTGACTGCTTTTCTTCTTCATCTCGAGAAAGATACATTCTCTTGCAGCTCTTCATTCATTGGTGACAAGCCCCCACCCTGGGACTTTACTAATGAGCTTGTTAAAGAGGTGCCAAAGAACATATTCCTCCTTTCTTTATTCTTTCTCCACCAAAACCCTCTACTTCAGAATTTTTTCAGGATATTTTTCCTCCCAAGGTCAGAAGAATGTGTTAATATTTTAAATAAAATATTTGGATATCTACAGCCACTGTGTAAATAGAACAGCCTAATGTTGAGAGTGGTTTCTAGCATTAGGTTTAGCAAGGGGAAGATCCACAGGTTGTGCGTCAGCTTTGGGTGAATTTTGTTTCTACCCTGTCATGTGGAAAGTTAGGGTTGAGTCCAGGAGTGCACACTGCTACTGCCACCCAACGCGCTATGTATCACTTTTAATTTTTTGTTTTGTTTTGTTTTTAAAAGATCATTTTATCTTAAAAAGGAAAGCTGATCCAAGTAAACATGAAAGTATTTGACACACCCCACAGATTTTACATGTGTGTAAACGTTTCACTTTAAAATCTCTATGACAGATACACAGGAAACATGAGGTGGTTTCTGTTAATGAGTGGCCCTTGAGTACACACTTAGATGCTGTCTGCCCTGTAAATTTGGATCTGGTGCCCCAGGGCAGTCAACTCTTCTAGCATAGGCTGAAAACACATGTGTGTCAGCTGAGGCTCATGCCACTTGGGGAATGAGCCTGTTTCCCTTCCAGGCCAGGCCCTGGTGTGAGATCAATTTTAGGGCTCCTAATTGGAGCACAGAAATATATTTGGTCAAATTTAATTGAAGGTGATTTCTTCCTTTTTATGTTGTACTTTATGGAAAAATCAAGATGGAACCTGAAAGTTAATGTATCCTTGCTAAAAATGTGTCCTTGCTTTTAGCAAGAGACTCAGCTTCTCATAACTAGTCCTAAGGACATATGCCACAATTGAGTAATTTTACTTCTACCCTGTGAAAATAACATGGTGCTGCACTATAATATACTCTCGGAATCAGTGTGTTAGTTACAGCTACACAGTGAAGGGGGATAACTGTTTCTAAATTTCTTTAAGGTGATGCCAAAAAAATGGATTAAAAAAATCTGATCAGATTTAATGTTATCAGATTTAGTGCATTATTTAATGCTATTGGATCTTTTGGATAATTCTTGGCTTAATTTCTTAACTACTTTTGAAGGTTAATTTGCAAGACTTTTAGAAACCTTAGAAAAGTTTTAAGGTTGCAAAGTTATCAACACTAGGGCAGAGGGTGGAGAGGCCAATGCGGGTAGAAGGAGGCAGTTATGTTTATATTGAAGGTGAAATTTTTCTTTCATTTGGAATGGAAAACATTCCCAAATTTATCATTATAAACTAGTCAGCCTTGACTGCACAAAATTGACCTTTAAATTGCTTGAGAAAAGCACAATGCAAATCGTTCAGAAGGGTCAACATCCTTCGGTGCTAAAATCTTCTGTATGTTTTCAGAATGGCTTTTTCTGTGTATCATAGAATAATCACTAAAGGAAAGGTAGTTGAATTTAATGTCATGAATCAAGACTCTTTAATTCAGTTATTTTAAACAAGAATTAAAACCCCAAACATTCTTGGCAGGCTTTGAAGCACTCTGAATTTTCCAGTATTTCTTATTAAATACACCAATAATAAACATATGCCTAGTTTACCTGATGAGTTTAGACATAATTCTATATAATGTTCACTTGTATTCATTTATGAAATAGCAAAACTTGTGCAAGAACAAGGTGTTCTGCTTGAAAACACTGATTTTTAAGTTCCTGTTGCCTGATTATAAAGAAAATAATCTGACACAGAAGCCTGGATTTTGCTCTCCTAACACTGGTGTTTTCCTTGAGCCTCTAATTCAAATAAGACAAATTGATACACCTTACAGCCTTATTCAGCTGTGTCTGGATAACCCACCTTTCGTCTATTGAATAAAAAAAAGTGTTTAAACTTAATAAATAAATAAAAAATTGTGTACCAATTACTACAGACCCCCTGAAACAGTAAGCCTTGGATTTTAGTCAAGTAATCCAGTTTTTTAATCTAAAAAAAAACCCATCACCTTTTAAAGAACTTTAAAAACACCTGTGATGCCAGTGTGGCCACTGCCACTGCCATGTCTTTACACGCATGTGCCGTATAGCTCTGTCATTCAGTTGAGGAAGTCCATGGTTTGCAAATAAGGGTAGGAGAATCAAAATTTCAGGATGGGGAAAAAAAAAAAAAAAAACATAGTAAAACCCATTTACATATAGGAAAGAAAACTTGACCTTCAACCCAGTGTGCCAGTTTGGGATATAAAACAAGTATGATCTTGCCTTTGAAATCATAAATGTTTGGAGCACCTATTCTTTGCCAGTTAAGATACATATCTTATTTTCCCTTTTTTTGTTTTTAAGTCTGTGTTCCTGTTGAAGGTTTTCCTGTAATTTAGGTTGTCTGTGAAATACCTATAACATATAATTCCTACAGAGTATGCCACATTTTTTTCTAAATGATTTCAAATGAAGTTCTCTCAGATCCTATCATTGAACTCGTCCACTAGATCTGAAAATAAAGCATCCTTTCCCGAGTCCACTTGAACTAATTGTGAATTTGTTACTTAACTTACTGGCATCTTGGGAAACAAGTTTTGCTGTGGAAGGAAGGCTGTTCTGAGAGTGAGCATTGAGTCTACTCTGGTTTGTGGATGACATTGCATTAGGGTTCTTTGCTGTATTACCAGTGCCCCCTTGTGGCAATATACTTTATGACTAGGAATGCAAACACCACTTTTAAAAGCCTGTTTTCAAGTTTTTGAAAGGCATTTGTTTTCTGTTATGTGTGCCAATAATCTGAAAGTATCATGTGAAAAGAATTATTTTAAAAGCATTTTAAACCTTTCCCAAAGGTAAAATGTGCACAGATGATAGGCACGTGTAATTCTAACCTTTTATCCATTTGATCAAAGAAAATTTGTAGAACATTTTTACCTCTCATGATCACAATCATTAGTGTCTCCCTTTATAACGATCTATATTTTGTTTACTTTGAAACACCAAATTTGTTGTCTTGGTTTGTTTTTTACATGACAGAACTCATGCAGTTTCTTTTTTCATTGAAAGTTCATATCTTGCCCCTTAAATAGTTTGAACATTTCTTTCTTAATTATTTTTTGTTTTTGTTCTGCACTGTAAAACTGATTAAAACTTTAAGCCAATCTTAATGCACTAGCCTCTGTAGTGTAAGAAAGTGTGACAAGGAATTTCTTAATGAGTTTACATGTTTAAATCAAGCATATTATAAGTTATATGCCATGTGTTGAAGGCTTTTCTATTTATATATATAAAGATTTTTAGTATTTGTTTTTAATGTCCTTGTGTTGCAATAATTTAATACCTTTGACTCAGTTGCTGAAAATATTTCTTCTATAAAGAAGTGCTCTTGACTTCAATACCCAAACACTGAAAATCATGTCAATGGTACCCAAAGATAAGTTTTTATACAGATACACACCTTATAAGTTCTGATTTATTTTCTTACTCCTTAATCTATGCTATGTTCTAAATAAATCATGAATGAGAAGAGTGCTTTATTGTGGAATTATTTAAAACTGTCCTTTAAAAGAAAAAGAGGAAATGATGAACAAAAACTAATCTAATTGCCAAGTTGGAATTCATTGTTTAATTTACCTCCTATGCAATGATTAATGCTGCAAAACGTATGGTTATGTTACCGTATATTCACAAAAGAAATATTATTACAAGGTTTCAGAGGTAGCCAATTGCATTCTTTTGGAAATTTACTGTACTGTTTCAATGTGTTAAGTGCCTTGTTGTAAAGTAAAATTTTAAGTCTAGAATTCATTATTTTCCTGACATATATTTTTCATTATATCTACTGTATGCTATTGTGATAGTTTTATGAAATGCTTACATTTTAATCAAATATGTAAATTTCAGAAGCTCTTTTCTCCTGCCCACCAGTACCTTAATCATTGGTTTATCACATTGGATTCAAATTCAGGTTCCTTTTTTGATAAAGAGGAAATTTGTTTTCCATGCTTGTGATTTTGTGTTTGTAAACATTTCAGGAGGAATTTAGGAGTGTAACTATAGTTTATACTTCTAAAATGTTGTCTTACATTTACATTTTTAAGTGCCTAATTGTTGAAACTGATTTATGTTTCTCTTCTAAAGGGGATATGTGTACATGGTTTCTAATCTCTTTGGTTTTGCTTTTTTAAAAATGCAAGAGCCTATACTTTGTATTTACCTAATAAACCACAATGACATCAACAGTCTTTTCAAAATTATTACTGTTTCTTTCCATTTACAAAATGTGTCATTTTTAAAAGAGTTCTAGTTTTAGAGTACTTGTTAAAACCACAAGAGGGATATTTTCTTCAAAGACTATTTTTAAAATAAAGTAATAACTTTCAATTAATGGATTTAAGGTGAAAAATAATTCAGAACAATACAAGGTCATTCATGGAGAAGAAAATCACAAATTCCATGATTCTGATTTTCACTGTTCACAAGAGGACAAAGTCACTCATGAAAAGCAGACCCTTTCTGTCACTAGGTCTCCTTATGCCTTCACAAGACAGAAGCCTAAGGTAATGTCCTCAACTGGAGTTTGCTAGACATTGCAACAGCAAGGTGCAGAAAGTTGGTTTTGAACCTGCTGATGACAAATGCCACTCCCTCCAAGATAAATTTTGTAAAAGCAATTCAGTGGGGTGAAGTGAATAGGATAAGATAATAAGGTTCAAAGAGTAAGTTACAGGAGATAGTCCACGCTTTATCCTTGGA